CCAAGTGTTGTAATATTAAATTTTTTCCAAACTTCCTGCGCATGAGCATAATCTTCCGCTGAAATTTCTTGATTGTTTAGTGTGGAATAAAAAGCTGCCCTCGATGGTAATTCTCCATCATTCAATCTATCCCAATTATCCAAATATTCATATGGGAATACACCTTTACGCATTAAATAATTTTCCATTTAATAAATGGAATTGCTCAGCGTTGCAATGAGCTCGTGTAATTGTCTTGTCTTCATCAGTCAAGTAGGACGCCAATTTTTCCAGGCTACTAGCCATGAATTTAAATGAATCAATAAATCTTAGGTTAACTTTTGTTTGTGGAATAGATTTTTTGAATGAAATGTACTTTTCTTTTGTTAGAGGCAGCAATTCGACAGATCCATTGAACTCCTTCACCAAATCCACAATTATAAAATGAGCATCATACCCCGAAAGATTGTGAAATATCACTGGTATTTCATGCATGCGCAGCTCCACGATATTTACCTGTGAAGTGGCAATGATCTCGATGTATAATAGCTGTCAAAATGAATGGTCCCTCACATATATGACACACTCGGGCTGCTGAGAATTCTTGGGACTGTTCGTACGTGAGCGGCTCCATTGGTACTATCGTTCTTAGTTTATCATTCACCATCACCCCGATTTTCTTTAATTCATCCATGAACCGCGCAATACAATCACTTCCACGTTCAATTTCAAAGCGCGATAAATTATTATCAAAGAAACACTGCAAGTAAAAGGCGACACTGTATGGAATATGTTTTTGATGTCATCTATCATCATCACCGTCATCACTGGGTCGTGGAATACACTCGAGATCAGCGTAAATCGTGAAGGGCACAGACACCTTATATCTATGATTTTGAAATTTCAGGATTTTCATCTCCTCTGATGGTAAAACCATTTTGCTCATATTGATAATGAAACAATCCTGTCTATGGCTCTCACAATTTTTTTCCGTGTGAAAATGACACAAACACCGATCACAAAGCCACATACGGTGTTCAAAACGGGAGATTCACGCGCTCACATCATCCCATCGGCGACCATCAGCGGCAACATACACATTCGAACAAAAGAGAAGTAAATGAATTGTAGGTATGCGCGAGTTCATCTTGCTGAGGTGGAAAGGGACAATTTCGTTCTCACTGTTCACTCCATATTCAATTCCATGAACATTAATTGACAGGTCATTCATTTTCTCAAATTTTGGAATATCACTGAAGGTCATGGGGAAGCGAATGGTGGCATAATCAATTAGCTTTTGACTATGTGGAAGAGTTGCTGTGGTATAATCGGGATATGATGAAGTGGCACATCGATGCGTCTTTACTGGATAGAGAGCAGTAATAACTGACCACAAAAAACAAAATTCATCCGAATTTTTGACATTGACAACAGCTTTCTTACATTGAATATCATAGGGCAACTCGACGTACGTTGAAGAGCCACCCTTCAGTGGAACATATCGGTTCATATTGACCATCAAATTCATAATTTCACTCAATTCCCATCCTGAATCACGGTCTTGGAAATCACCGATTTTCCTGAGCAATGACTCACTCCCATTGTCATCAAACCATGTTGCCAGATCTGTAGCTGGTAGAATGATTCCATTTTTTGTATTGAAATATTTCACTTCACTAGTAATCACTTCGTCCTTTTTCAATGTAAATTTGCACGCTAAAATAGCATTTGCCTTTATATTGCCATTTTTTTCGCGAACACTTCTCAAATGTGCTGTTGACAGTTGTTATGCACCATTGAGAAAGGAAGTTGGATCTTTATGTTAAAGATTGATTACAATGCCCGTGCGAATACGACTGTGAAAAGCTGATGGTCCATCTCTTCAGCGTACACGATCTGCAAGCGCTTCTTCTTCTCTGCTATGCGATGGCACCTGCACACGACCACCTTGATGTTGTCTATTTGTGAATCCCTCGTGATAACCCTGAATTCGAGCAATGGTAGAAAGAATTTTATTTTTCTCACCAACCGATAGTTGATTTCGTCTTTTCAAAACTCGAGTATAAAATTTAATATAGTAACCACATCGATCAATCCATTGCTGAATGTGTTGAGATTGTGCATTTTGATAGGCATGTTGGAAAATTTCAATTATTCTGGAACAGCGCACAATGCTGCTACGTTCCATCTTGAAATAAGGCTAACAACCCCTAGGAAAATTCAGATCAATTTATATCATTGCTTGTTGGAGTTTCAATGAGCCATAAAGTTTCAGTTGGATCGATTAATTGTCATTTCTTCATCAATTTCTCAGGAGTATGCAGACGGTTCATTTTCCGAGAAAAATTCGACCGTTGGATCGATTTATTAACATTTCTTCATGAATTTCTCGGAAGCTTGGTGGCAGTTGAGTTTCCGGGAAAAATTTGACCGTTGGGTGGAGATTGTCTAAATTTCTTGGAATTGCCGTTCGATTGCAATTATAAATGACAATTGCATTCCCCCTCTACTTGCGAAGAGCCTATAAGTAGCTGGAGTAAAGCAACTGATTCATCATCCAGTCTCCAATCTATAAGTGCAGTCACACGAAATTTTCTAAGACGAAGTGAATCGAGGAGAGAACCAAATAAATCA